CCTGGGATCAAAATATTGAAAAGTATGAGAGAGAGCTATTAAGTGATTCTGAAACCTGGGAAATGATGCAGCTTCAGATGTAGGTTTATGTAGGGATAATTATGGACAAATGCTATTTAAAATTGAGCAAAAATACTAGAAAAGAATACTTTGTTTCTCTACATTTGTTTTTATACTATGGCTATCTTGGTTATCCTTCATGGTATATCTGCCTTGTTGAGATTGTGAGCCATGGTTTGAACTTCCTTGATTGCTGAGTCTCCACTTGGAAGTGGCCAAAGACCTAGACATAAGCTAATCCCATTAGAGATGAAGAACGTTGTAAATCTAAGGGATGTGATGTAAATTTGCTAAGGGCTGGAAAATGTAAGTTTCAGTGTGGAGGTCACTTCATGTGAGACCATAGAGCGACAGACAGATGAAATTTTTTGAGACTCATATAGAAGACAAGTTTAGACTTTGATTTCACATCATGGCCAACTTGATTTTGAATTTTGGGGTGATACTTTACAAAAATCTTTGTTTGGCTTCACATTGCCCATTTCCTCGTCATCACCTGCCTCAGGTTCCTGCCCATTTATTGTGAGCTTTTCCTGGCTTCGTTCAATGATGGACTATAATGTGGAAATGTAAGCCAGAAAACCCCTCTCACTCTCCATGGTGTTTGGTCATGTGTTTTATCACAGCAATAGAAACCCTAACTAAGACAAAGTCTAATGCTAGCTATCATAATAAATAAAAAATGTGGTGGGTGGGTTGCCTTTCCTGTAAGAACTGAGCTGTGGGAAGGAAGTACAGAACAGATGTGGAGACTATAGGCAGCATGCTGGGGAAATGCAGAATACAGGGCACAGCACACATGAGAAACCCTGAATAAGCGCTGTCTTCCTTAAAGTCAATGTTTGCCAGCACCAACAGCCTGCTAGATGCTGTTAGGCGGCTTGTGTGGGGCTTTTGAATTGCTTCCTTCCTGGCTCCATTCTTCCAGGGAATGTTCTGGTCAGATAATACCCAGGGAAGGAAATAACATGAAGTCTGTTTCTTTATAGCTTTTTACCCCTTTTCCACCCCCGAGGAGAGTTAGTAACCAGTGTCACTCACTTGGAAAAACATACCAACTGTGGTCACCCACATTAGGGAAACAGGAACAGAAAGATGAATAACTTAGCTGGGGGTCACTTCATCCCAAAACAAACAAAAATTGAAATTAGTGTTGTGAGAAGAGTACAAACTAGGTGGTTATCTACTGAAGAATAAAGCTGGGCACTACCACAGTCAAAAACTACGGAGGCAGCCAGCTGTGATGGGTGGCGCGTCACACAATTTTACTTGACTTGATAGAAGGGGAGGACACGTCCATAGCTAAGTAAAAATAAAGGAACCCTCAAGTTACCTGTGAGAAATAATTGGAATCATTGTGGAGAACAAATTTGGAAAATATTATTTTCCTGAGCCCTCAAAAGAACAAGCACGTGGAAATAAGTGGCATGCTGGTCATCTTGGAGGCCTGAGCTCAGAGACCACACTGGCATTTGGGAAGTGCTCTGACTTAGACTTGGTCTGACAGTGTCCTTGAAGGATTCATGCATTGGTATTCCATGTGGCAATGTTAGTAACTGGTTGGGATCTTTAACAGGCCTAATGGATACACATGTTCCTATCATGATCCCTTTCATGTGTGGTGTTGCAGGAGGGGATTGGCCCTGTGCTGTTTAGATTTTTTTCAGCTTCCAAAATGTAAGCAGAATAAACCCTTTCTCTTAATAAGCACCAAAACCCACAGGTATTTCATCATAGTGACATGAAGCAGACCTAACAGAGAAGCCACAGCAGTGAGCGTTGACCAAAGGTGTGGCTAAGGGGAGTAGATGAGTTGTAGCTGACAATTCTTTTCTTTCTGGCCTTTGAAAATATTAATATTAAGAAAGATATCTACTGTTATTAACATGGCTCCTTTCCCTTATTATTTGGTGATTAGAGAAACATTAGAAGTAAGATGCATGGCCTGAGGATGGGGAGAGAAATCCACATACCAGGGTCAGAGCTGTTCCTGCACAGTCAAGGGAGAAATCCACACCTCCGTTGGTCAGTTCAGTGATGACATCCTGGACAGGTTTATCTAGGTCCTTAGGGTTAAGGCAGTCAGTGGCTCCCAGGGCCTTAGCTTTTGGAAATTTCTCACAGTTGATGTCAATAGCGATGATTCTGGAAGCTTCTACTGTTTTACACCCAATTACAGCAGAAAGACCTACACAGCCCAGGCCGAAGACAGCGCAGGTGGAACCAGGGGTGACCTGCAGGGCAGGACAAGTACAGGGTGACTTAAAGCTACTGCACAGCCCTTTTCAGGGGAGGAGAGGGATAACTCAGACACATGATGTAAGGGTACCTGCTATAAAGCTATGATGTATCCAGTGGTGAAACCCTCCACTGTGAAGACAGTGCATTCCTACCAAAATTTGTACAATTATTCAGGGCCATTGACACAGCAGTTCTTAAGGAGCAAACCCAAGTGGAAGGAATCCTGTTATCTCACCTTGCCCTTCAGTGATGTTAGAAAACAATTAAAAAAAGCCCAGTAGTCTAAAGGAGCATCCCCCTCCGAGACTGGGTCAGAGGTAAATAAGGTTCTAATGGACCTTATTTTGCTGCACAGTTGTTTTTGAGAGACCATTAACCATTAACATTTCTATAAATGCACTTGGTTATTCTAAATTGTCACTAGGGAGGTGGGATGAAGTCTGAATGTCTTTGCATGGCACTGAAGGATGCTCCTCACTGGTTGGAGACATGGTCCCACTATTAGGCCACAGTGGCCTTGGGCTTGGGGTCCATCTTGTCTCAGTTCTCTACAGTGCTGTGTAGGACAGGCATGTGATGCCACACTTGGTGAGAGTTTTGGTGACTCTATTTACCTTTCAGCTTAATTTCCATGATTTTCCACAATAGCCATATGGTGGCACTCTTCTGTGTCTGAGAAATGTCTCGGTGAGTTCAGCCAGTGTACTTGTCCTCAAATTCAGATAAGTTAAAGTATACCCTGTCCTTCTAGGCCTCAAACACCACAGCACTCTCTCCCCTGGAACTGTTTTTGATTCTTTAATCAGAAATCAATTATAGTGCACAACACTACAGCTACCATGCACACTAGTTTATACCACCCCCTTTCTTGAATTGGTTTTGAATCAGGGCATTGCATTGTAAAGCAGGCTGACCTGGAACTCACTATTTAGCTTATGTTGGCCTCATAGTGATCCTTTGACCTCAGTCTCTCTAATGCTGGGAATACAGGCATGAGCCATTGTGTTAGCCAGTGTTGGCAGAGGCTTGTTTAATCTCCAACATTATTGAGGACTCATGTATACCAAGTCTTTGATGAAGAGCTTCTCACTTGACTTAAGAAATAGACGCAATGCACAGTATGGTAAGAAGAAAGCATGTAGTTGGCACAAATTCTTAGAAGAGTAGCAGAAAATATGTCACAGAGGAAGCTTAATTAGTATTTTTAGATTAACTGTTTAGATTAAAGAATGAGCAAAAAGAGGAGATAAAATCTGTCCAAGCGACATATTGGTGTCACCTAATTTGGAAACTTAATTAGTAAGGAGCACAGATGTTGCACATCTTTTTAGTTTATGCAATGAGGAAAGACAGGATGTTGATAATCCTGCTGAGAAAACTGATAATAACATGCAGAAAAAAAAATAGGCTTTCTTTCTTCCTTCCTTCCTTCCTTCCTTCCTTCCTTTCTTTTCTTTCTTTCTTTCTTTTTCTATCTCTTTCTTTCTTGAGACAAGGGTTTCTATGCAGCTACTAGCTCTCTTGGAACTCCCCTATGCAGGTCGGGGGTAGCCTCAAATCCACAGAGATCCATCTGCCTGTGCCCTTCAGTGATCAAAAGGCAGGTGCCACCATGTCCAACTGACGCTTATACCATATATGAATTCAGCTCACAATGGGTTAAAGACAAATGAAACAGATAAAGTTATAAAAATCCACTAGATGAAACATAATGGAAAGTATTCATGGCCACAATCTGCACAGTGATTTCTTGGATCTCATTCTAAAGAGCTAGGATCTGGGGCAAAGATCATAAGATCAAACAAGGCAATTGTAGGCCTAGTGAGGTCCTGTTTAAAAATCAGAACAAAACAAAGAATTGAAGCATAGGAAACAAAAGAAAAATGGACCAATGGGATTATATTAGTCTAATAATTTTTTGCATAACTGAGAGACAACCAACAGAATTGAGAAAACCTAAGAAATGGGAAAATATATTTGCAAATATACATCCACCTCAGTGCTAATACCAAAACATCTGAGGAAATCTGCACAGACTGGTGACTATCACCAGCAGCTAATCTATGCTTAAATATTAAAGGGAATACAAGTCGAGGGTTTTTATTATAGTAGGTAATTTTGTGAGGAAATAGATATGTTATTTTATCATTTGACAGTGTATCTATCTATCATCGATTTATCTATCTATCTCTGTCTATCCATCTATCTGAACATCACATTATACTCCATGTATAATTTTTATTGATTAAAATCATCCAGGAGACAGGAAAGAGGGAACAGCAGTTAAGAGTACCTTCTGTTCTTGCAGAGGATCCAAGTTTGATTCCTAGCCCTTACATGGAAACCGCGAACCATCTTTAACTCCAGTTATAGCGGATTTGATGCCCTCTTCCACAGGCACATGTATTTCATGGTGCATATACATGCAGGCAAAACATGAGACACATAAAATAAATACATTTGATAAAATGTTTAAAGGAAAACCTAACCCATCAAAATCTAAATTCGGGAAGTCCAGCATGGTGGGCTCATGCCTGTGATTCTGGCACTTGGAAGGCAAAGTCAGGAGGACCATGGGTTTGAGGGAAGCCTGGTAGATGTAGTGGTGGTGGTGTTGGTGGGAGAGTGAATGAGTGAGCTACAGATGAACAGATGATAGGTAGATAGATAAATGATAGAAAGACAGATGATAGATAGAAGATAGATAGGTAGATAGAAATGTTAAGAAATATTTGTTTACACGAGGATGTGTCTTTACTAAGGCACCTTCTGAGTGGTGTAATAAAGAGCTAAATAGCCTAATAGCTAAGCAGAAGAGGTTGATTAGGACTTCCAGGGACAGAGAGAGGTGGGAGAAGAAAGACAGATGCAGAGGAAGCAGCATGGAGAGAAGAGACAATGAGCATATGACAGGGCATAGATTAAAGTAAATGGGTTAATTTAAATTATAAGAGCTAGTGAGACAAACCTAAGCTGAGGTTGAACATTCAGAATTAATAATAAATCTCTGTGTCATTGTTTATGAGCTGGCAGCTGGAAGAAAAAATCCAACTACATAGTTAGCAATAGATGACTTATATCTAATGTATCTAGTGGAGTCAGTTATTCGGGGATGTCTGAGGCATCTACCTCAGGCATCATTTGCAAACAATTTCAAGCTGTCTTGTCTCTTGTAATCTAGCCTTGCAAGAGCATTCAAATTCTAATATAATTTTAGGAACACATCTTTCAAGAACATACTCTCTTGAAACCACAAGAGGATGGAAATGGGCAAATTCTTATTGACTGAGGAAAAATAATCTATAGAATCAGGGAGAAAGCTGGGTGACTAAATAAGATAGGTAGGGTTTCTCCATTTAGGAGTCATGTTTTGATGAACTTTATTTAAATCAGGGCACATCTATATGTAGCTTACTAACCCAAAGTTTTATATATGCAATATAACTTAATGTGCTCACAGCTATTGATTCTATTATTTAGCGACATCTAATCACAGAGGCTGAACTGGAGATGTAGTTCTTTGGTATAGCATTTTCTAGCAGGTGCAATGCCTTGGTTTCAATCCCCAGGCTGTGAAAACAGAAAATTACAGAGGCAGTAAAGCTACAGCTAATTACAGTGGCAATAAGCAGTGTAGCCAGATTGTGAGGACAATCCTAACTCCTTTATACAACATTGTCTCCCAGTAACCTCTGTTTGCAGACAACATAACATTTAATGATGTACCTTGGCAGTGTTGATGGCAGCCCCATAGCCCGATGAGAACCCACATCCAATCAGACAAACTCTCTCCAAATTTGCCTCGTCATCGACCCTGGCAAGATTGGCTTCTTTAACTACAGTGTATTGAGAGAATGAACTGACTCCCATGAAATGATAAATTGGTTTTCCTTTGCAGGTAAATCTACTTGTTCTGTCTTCCATGAGCTCTTGATCAATATTGGGGCATTTAAAGTTCCTAGAAAAAGAAAAGGACACAGTGAAGAAGAGATATTGGATATCATATATTTGTCAGTGAACTTTTTATGGAATCTAAGGAAAAGTTGGGAAAATAATTTGTACTTTTCACACCATACATAGTATTTTTGAGCTATTTTAGTGTTAGTACCAACAAACTACTGATGAGTTCTTTCTGCGTGCCAGATGCTCTTGTAAGGCTATACTGTTAATATTTTTTTTCCCTGCTAGGAAGTTCAAGTAAAACTAAAAATAGAATAATACAATGACCTTCCATGTACTTCAGTGACCTTCCAGCTTAGTTATGTCATGTCCTGTCCAGTCAAACTTCACTTGTCACTCTGCAATACACAACTCTTCTCCCACATCACACTGTCTGATCTGTATTGAGGTATTCATATTTCTAAAGGATTCCTTTAAGTTGGCACATTGCATTTTACTAAGATGTCTTTTTAAATTTATACCCACCACACTGTAATTTCCTTGTGGAAAGCTAGAGTTGTTGGTCCCCTAGAATTTCTGTCCTTATCAGTGTTGCTGGGAATGTTCTAAAAGCTGGTTTAATCTGTTTCTCTGTCTCAGCATTGTCTCTTAAATTAGAAGTTTTTATTGAAACGTCTGATTCATATTTCATGTTTTTTGGAGGGGGATACTTCAAAGGTGGTGTGATACATCTTATTAATTTCTCTTTTTATACTACTAGAATTCATAGCCATTGTCTAAATACATAATTTCATTAACAGTTTGCAAAAAAGTATAGTTTTAATTCAACCTTACAAACTGACATTAGTATCTTCCTATAGATGAGAAACAGAGGCATGGATATGAGTAAAACGGTTTGTAAACTATTTGCTTATTACGTGTGTGTATGTGCGTGAATGTATATGTGTCACATGTGTGTATGTGGCACAGAGGCCAGGAGAGGCACTGGATCTCCTGGAACTGGAGTTATAGGTGGCTAGTGATGTTGGTAGATGTTGGTAACTGAGCCCAAGTCCTGTACGGTACTAGTGACCACTTTTAACAGCTGAGCCATCCCTCCAGCCCAGGTTTTAGTTTCTTAAATAACAAGCTTCAATCAGCATTCAGGACAAATACATCAGTTTTAGGTGACTAAGATTCTCAACTGTTGTTGTGTCTGTGTGAAAATCTGGGTTCAGTACCTGAAGCTGTGTTGCCCTACCGTAAACTAATGTAACTCTACATACTCATTCTCACTCCCCCTAAAAGTAGATACAATTTTAACTTGGGATTTATCATTCCAGTGATGTGTTCATATTTTTGTTACATACACATGTAACCTTAAATTTGGTACTGTCTTTCTGTGACACATATATAGGATGTCTTTTAATGTCTTGCTCCTTTCCCTTAACGTGTGTAAAATAGGTTAGTATGTATATTTTAAATCTAACTATTTTCATTATATGGTATTTCATTGTGTTATTATATAGCAGCAAATAAACCTATTCTTTTATTGAAGGACACGACTATGGTTTTTTATTGTTCTTATAAGCCAAATGACTTATTTTTTCAAAAAAATCTTTACGTTCCTTTATTGGAGCAAGATTCCTGAGTATATACAGTGATGTATTTCCTAAACAGAATACTGTGCAGAAATTACATATAATCAATCTAGACAGATTTCGGTTACATTTTGCCTATTGATGGAGTAGTTCCATTTATGAAGTTTTATACATCAAAAAACTTCAAATTTGACTGGGCTATCCATTAATCATCTCTGAAAAAAGAAGCTACATGACTTACAAGACTCCTCTCACTCTTATTAACAGTGGAGGGCTTACCGGAGTTTCCCACAGAGGTTTGTAAGAGGACTCAGACAGAACTTGCACTTTTTACACTGAGGTGCAAAGAATGGAATTACTTTGTCACCTAGAAAGAAAGGCCGTATGTTAGATGGTACCTAAGATGCAGTTATAGTTTCTGAAGTGTGGCTAGCATACGAATTGTTGGCAGAGAATTTGCCTATTTATGCAAAGGTCTCAGGTTTGATTTCCAGCCATAAAAAAACTTTCTCTGAGATAAATAGTAGAAAACACCATTTTTTTTTGTAGTATACATTTTATATTCAACAAAAATATACTATTTCAGTAGAATAGAAGACTGTGGGTTCTTTCAAGTACTGTACTTTTGTCTTTCTTAATCTGCGTGGCAGCCAAGGTAACAGCCTATACTGGTATTAAGAGGTGTATGGTTCTGGCTGGGAATATGATCACCAAAGTCTCTGAGTATGACTGTTGTTTACTGCCTTCCCAAACACTCTGTATGGAATAGAGAGCATCCCAGTAGGACAGAAGAGCTGAGACATGTAGGCTAGAGGTAGAGCCTTGTATTACTGCCTATGTTGTACCATTCTGATTCATTTTCTAGCTCTTCATCCAGTTCCTATTTGGTTCTTTGACGCCCAATGAGATGATAATTTCACGCGTGATCAGCAGTTAGTGTGTGGCAGCCAAAACATTGCTTATGTTTTACTTCTCACATCTGCCATTTTAGAATAGAAAAATCCAAGTCCAGTCACAAAAAATGTAACTGACCCCAGTCATACAGCTAGTAGATGGGAGAGTCAGGACTAAAGGTAGACACTGGTCACACCTTTAACAATGCAGGTATTGAGGGGAGCAATCTGCTTCAGTGCTCATACTTGGAGTGGAGAATACTATTGTGCCTTCAAGTTTGGATGGAGGGGTGATATGGCTCATCAGAGACTCACACCAGTATACACTGTATATGTTACACAACATGATGAGCCACTGGCACGCTTCAGGGTATTGTGTTTTATCTCCTGAACTCCCAAACACTTTGACTGAAATTGATATGTGTGTGATGCCTTTCCCTTAAGCCTCCTGCAAACTGTCACTCTTTACATAACCATAAAGTAAATTTCCATTTCACATAGAGGAAGTATTTGTGAAATAGTTGTGAGCCACGCAAGCTTCATTTTACACTAACCCTACAGCTTTGCTTCATAGGACAATTTCTCTGTTTACATAAATAACATGGCTGTATTTCTAGGATTTTTTTTTTTTTTTTAGGCTATTCTGGTTTCAAACAGTCTGTTTCCTTGTTATGCCATGACAGATGGTTTGTGTCAGTGTTCCTTTAGGAAAGATGAACTCTGTCAGCAAAGCCCAGACAGCACAAAAAGCAAAGTCAATTGTGAGGAGCCATCGCAGGAAGGCTGGGAATCGCTAGTTCATTGAAATCAAAAGGTAAAACACCTGGTTTGAAGTTGGTCACTCCTGGCCCAACACTTTCTACAATTCCAGCACACTCATGGCCAAGGACTACAGGAAAGAGAGCTTTCTTCTTAGGATTGGTAGCGTTGATGTCAGTGGGGCACACACACATGGCGATTACCTACAAAGCAACACAGATTTCAGCTGTGGCTCTATAGCTGTGTTCTTAGGCCCAGTGACACCATGAAGTGTTACAACCATCTTAGTCTTCAGTAAAAAAATTATATTTTGAAAAAAGGGACATATATCATTTACCATGTTATATTATTCTATTCCTGGAATGCAGTTTAATTTTCTAAATTTCATTGTTGCTGGAAAAAACCCTTACAGTGTTAGTGATACTGTTAGTAGGAGAGGAAACATCAAAGGTGAAAGGCAGGAGAGAACTTATACCAAGCAGTTGTGAGAACATAGGTCTACGTGGCCTTGTTGGAGGAAGTGTGTCACTGTAAGGTGGGGTTTGTGGTCTCATATTTGCTCAAGCCACACCCAGTTTCTCAGATCACTTCCTGTTGCCTGTGAGTCGAGATGTAAGAACTCTCAGCTCCTTCTCTAGCACCTCGTCTGCCCGAGTGCTGCCTTACTTCCTGTCATGACAATAATGGGCGAAATCTCTGAATTATAAGCACGCCACTCCAATTAAATGTTTTTCTTTATAAGAGTTACTGTGGTCATGGTGTCTCTTCATAGCAATAGAAACCCCAACCAAGACATAAGACAATGCATCTTTTTAAGTCTGCTTCTAAACTATAGCTGTCCATAGGAGAAAGTCAATATCCAGTTCAGAGTCAAGTCTGTATTGCTCAGCCAAGTCCCTACTCACCTGAATTCGAACTTCATGAGCCTTAGGGGGAGACACTTCAACTTCTTCAATGCAAAGGGGATTGCCTGTTTCCCAGGCGATGGCTGCCTTGCATGTAATAACCTGAAAGACAGAGGAAGGAGAGAGGAGAGAGTTGAGAAGGAGAGTAGTGGTGGGAGAAGGAGGGAAAGATAGAATAAGATGGTTTTGTCCAAAAAAGGTCAATGCTATGGTGATACGAAACAGGAGTTTGTGACTAGATACTTGTGTTATTTTCAGGGGAAGATGCTTTAGCATATGCTAATTTCTACATTATAGCCATTGTAATTTTTATATTTTGAACAAACAAATACATAAAAATTTACCCTAATACTATGCCTACATATTTACCTCTATCACAGAGAAGATATACTTATAAGGCTTAAAGTTTGGTTGATAGTCAATAGGCATTTTTAACCAGCTCTAAAGTACCTGAGCCCAGGTCATTTGCCTAGATATGATTTGCTACTAGAGTATAGTCATTGGGCTAACTGTTAGAAGAAAGTTCAATTCTAAATCTGCTAACTTGGGATTGACCAAAGTCTTCAGATGATTAAAAAAAAATCTGGGAAGTGAGACAGTCAATTACACAATCAGTAGAGTGTAAGTTAAATAAAAATTGTTCTTTTTCTAAGAATTGAGTTAAAGTGCATGAAAAGAAACAAAACACCTAAAGTTTTACAATTAATTCCTACATTAAGTTTCTTAGTCTCAAATTACATTTTTAATTTCAAATATAAGTAAAGTCAGAAGAAAATTCAATATCTATAATCTTTTGTCCTTACTACTGCCTGTGCTATTGGTATCCATTTTCTTGACCATTTGATAACCTGCTTCTCAATTGTTCTGTGCAATATTTAATTATGGTTTAAATTGCTTTTTCTCATATTACAAACATAATGTACATTCATACAAGAAATTTCAAAATACAAGTAAGACAAAAAAATCCATTTATACTTTTATAATTTTCTTTCTCCTTATGTTAAAGCCTTTGGGTGTCCTCCATGAAGTCATATTCACAGCATTTTGCAATCTATTTTGTCCCATCCTTTCAATTTCTCTGCACTGATAGAGTGTAGGTAACTTAATTTTCTCCCTGCCCTCCCCCCCCATTTAAATAATGTGTGAGTACCCTAGAAGATACTTGAGCAAATGCAGAGTTGTTTTCCTTAGAATGTATTCTAGCTTATGAACTACTCCAGTCCCTTTAGTTGATTTTAAATCACTGTGCCTTGAGTGTAGCCCAGAAGGAAGCATCTTCAGCCAATGTGTAAAGACACAACAGAAACAAGCTAAATGCAGATGTAGGTTGCTTACTTACTTTTCCCTTGGTGCCCATTTTCCTTGCTTGGGAAGCTTGCTTTGGAAGTGTCTTTCTGACTGGCCTTTCACCTCTACCCAGAATACTCTGTGTCCTGTGCTGAAAACTCTGAGTAAATAGCATTCCTGTTGGCTGCTTCTCCTATCACAACCCTGCCTGACTCCTGTGATATTTGTCCTGTCATAGTCATCCACAAACCCATTGCTCCCAGCTGGCACCAAGAGATTTTTTTAAAAATTAGCTCTTATCTTTTATTACGATATATTGAATAGAGAAAGTGCATTAATTGTATAAGGCTGAGTTACAAATAACTACTAAGTAGAGGTATTTCAATTGCTCTGCAACTTCCCATTTACTAATTCTTCTCTTTTACACCCTGATAATTTCCTTGCAGTTTGTGATTTTTTACTACATATTTTTTCCTACTAATAGCTTAGTTTTGTTTATTAGTAAGTTTGTGTGAATAGGCTCATAGTGTCTACCATTTCGTGTGTTTCACCTTTAATTCTGTTTGTTGACCGTTCACAGTGTCTTTATTTATTTGTTTTATGTATATGGGTGTTTTGACTTCATGTGTGTCTGTGTACCACATGTGTGCATGGTGTCCATGGAAGCCAGAGATTGTCAGAGCTCCCTAGGATTGGAGTTAGAGACAGTTGTGAGCTGCCACTTAGATTCTAGGAATTGAACCCAGGCCCTTGGGGAGAGTAGCCAGTACTCTTATTGCTGAGCCATCTTTCCAGTTGTAGCTTATTTTCTTACTGTTGAGTAACACACTATATCAATTCACCATATTTTATGCACCCCCTTTTCCTGCTGTTGTTTTCTTTTTGCTCACGGCGAGAGGCTCTTCATGCACCCTGCTGCACATGTGCTCGTTTGCTTAGGGACATCCAGGACGGATGCAGCCAGCATGTACTAACAGGGCATCACTGACTGTTGAAACACTGAAACACCTTTATTATGGGTGCTAAGAAGACCCTGGCTCCAAGGCTGCTGAAGTCCCTCTGGACTGCTGCAGGCAGGGAGTCCTGTAGTCACTGTTGGGGAACAACTCTGTGGATGCAGGGGCCTGGCAAACAGTCCCAGTGGCTGTGGGTCTCACAGTGTCCTCCATAGACAGCAGTGTTGTAGCCTAGCGCCTGCCTGACCTGGGCCTGTGACCGCCGGTGCGGGGTGGGCCAGACACACCATGATGGAATGTCTCCAACTGACTACCAACTCAATTAAAAAAAAAGAATGATATTTTATCTCTAAAATTTCAACCTTAGAACAATGCAAAAAATCATGTACCCATCACTCCAGATGGTGAGTGGAAGAGTTTGCCATCTCCCAAGTGCCTCCTGCTATATCTTCTTTAAAGTTCTGCTCTACAGCTGACTAGTTTTCCATCTTCTGACTTCATCCCCACTGGCAACTCTTCAGATGTGCACCTGTGATGGTCCAAGTGACTCAAGTTTACAAACTGGACCTATGAGTGACAGGATGTGGAGAGTCATGCTTACAGTCACCCGACTTAAATTTGATACTGTGGTGGTACATAAAGGCATGTAATTCTTTATGATCGTTGTGTCCCTGACCATCATTAAGGATAGGCAGTTTGGTGTTCTAGAGTCAGATCACAGTGTTTACTCATTAATTAATAAGATACTTGCAATTGCCTTTATCCGCTGAACCGTCTTGCTGATCCTGCTTTACATATTTTATATTTTGATCATGTAAAAGTTCTGTACTCTGTGTAATATAAATTTAATATATTTTTGCCATCTATTCTTGTTGGTTTGGTTCTCTTATTTATATCAGTTTTTTCATGTTCCCATAGTATTCATTAGCTCCTCTTGACTTCAGTAGTTTAATATTGAATAAAGGTGTTTTATTCAACTTTACCAAGTATAGTGCACGTTTTCTCTTCCACATGCTTTTTTTCTTTTTCTTCTTTCTTCCTTCCCTTCTTTCTTCCTTCTTTTCTTCCTTCCTTCCTTCCTTCCTTCCTTCTCTTTTTGGAGAGGGTCTCTCTACAATGCCATGGCTGTCCTGGAATTCATTATGTAGACCAGGCTGGTTTCAAACTCAGAGATCTGCCTGCCTCTGCTTTCTGAGTGCTGTTTTGTTCGGAATTATACTATGTCTTGTCTATTCTAATTTTTCACTATCCGTCCTTCATTTTGTAATTCACTGCTTTCCATCTTTATCTTTTTTTTTAAATATTTAAAAAAGAGGTTATTAGTATTCTCCTTTAAAATCAAACAAATGAAAATTTCCAAATACCTATTCTTTTATAAAATTTCTCTCTAGCAGTGAACTTTGCTGGCTGTAATCATCTGTTTTCATGTTCATTATACTACAGTCCTTCCTTCATTCCTTTGTTCCTTCCTCTCTTCGTTCCTTCCTCCCTGCCTTCCTTTCTCCATCCCACTCATTCTCTCCATCCAATCCTCCATCCTCCCCTTCCCTCCCCTCCTCCTTCCTGCTTATCAAACTTCCTTGGTGCTTTAGCCTGGACATGCTAATTGCTTGTAGACATCTCTGTTTTAAGTGCTTATGTTCACAAAGCAAACCATCTCATTTTTTCAAACTTGAAAATGACTCTCTCTTACCGTAGCTTTGACATGAGTGTCTGTTCTTTTACTCAGGGTTCCAAGGTTCCCTTGGCCATATTCTCTACAGCACTGACAAGCTTTGTGCACCCCCTTTCATTTCCTTCTTCCCACTGTTACTAATCTGCAGATAGGCTTCTCATTATTCCTTGTTTGCACTGTTGCAGTAATCTTGGTACAGAGTCTCTGGTTGGCACAGCTCTGTCTGCAGTCCTGTTTCAACACAAGATCCATATTCCTATTACTTTCTTTAAAATAGAAGGTTTTAAATGCTGGTCAAATTATTGTGCCTGCCTTGAGATTACAGTAAGTATTAACATGGATAGGCAGTAGTGCACCTTCCCATGTGTTTGCAATTGTCTTTGATTTCTTTTTTCCTTCCTTCGTTCCTTCGTTCCTTCCTTCGTTCCTTCCTTCCTTCCTTCCTTCCTTCCTTCCTTCCTTCCTCCCCCACCCCTTTTCCCCCGGGGCAGGTCTCACTCACTGCGTAGCCCCTGGTAGTCTTGGAACTCACTATGTAGACCAGAGTTGCTTTGAACTCACAGAGATCTATTTGCCTATCTTTTCCTCCTGAGTGCTGAGATTAAAGGCATGTATAACTATGCCAGGTTTTCAACAGCTTCTGTGAAAGTAAGTGTAAATTGAAGTTCCCAGAGCAAAGCCACTGATGTGATGTAGGGTCTTCAAATATGAGGACTAGGATTTGACTCCTAGAACTCATGTTCTAGACTCATGCTGGCCATGGTAGCATTTGCTTGTGATCTCAGCACCGGAGTGGCAGAGACAGAAAAATCCCTGGGATTCACTGGCCAGCTAGTGTGGTCTACCTGGTGAGTCTAGCCCAATGGGAGACCCTATCTCCAAGGTCAAGGAGAATAGTGTTTCAGAAGATGACATTTGAGGTGGTCCTCTATTCACCAGCTGCACACACATGGGCCCTCACCAGGTATATACATGTTCACACATGCATTAAAATAATGATATTGTTGTTCATAACAAAGAGGGGTGAATTTTTGACCTCTGACTTGGGGCAGGGCATAGCAGTAGTAGCAGGACTTAGAAGAAGAGCTCAGGGAAACTGTGGAACAGGCCTGAATGAGCTGTGATGGGGAAAAGGAAGCAGGGATTCTGTGAAGAGGGCTGGGACCAGGGAAAATCAAACCCTTTGCTTGCTTGGAAACACTATCAACACATGAGTTGTGTGGTGTGTCAAGATTCTGCTACATGTCAATATTTCATTTTCATAAATCAATAGATGTGCAGAGGGGCTAAGAAAATGTGAAGGAATGGAAAACATTTTGAAGAGCCAAGAGGCAAGCTCTTCAGAGAATGTCTCCTTTAGTTCTTGCCTTATTTTCTGAAGTCACACCTCTGTAACTGACTCCTCCGTACCTGTCCCAGTCATCCTCTGTTGCAGTATGCCAGTACCCTTGAGAAAGCCAAGCTGGGGAAGTGTCACTCACTGGATCTACCTGTTCCTTGAAGATCATTGC